AAATGAAATGGTGATTAAAATAAATCAAAGTTTAATTTTAATAAAATTTTTCACTTATTTTGTCTTTAAATTGTGCATTTGAAAATAAATAAATAAATAAATTGTTTTATATATAATCTTTTCAATTTAATTTTATGAATGTTTTTAACAAGAAATTGTTAATAAAAAATATTTTTAAGACGTTCCTTTCCATCTTTCAAATGTAATGAGATATTGCAATAAACATTTTTTCTCTTTCTAATGATAGAAAGAAAAGTGAAGAAAACTATTCTTAGTATTTCATTTTCTCACAATTCGAAGAATGAGGAAATTATTATTCAGTGCTTCTTTCTTGCACTTTTATAGAAGAAAAATAATATTGTGTATAAAAAAATAATAAAAAAATTCTTCTACTATTTACATAAAAAAAAATCTGTTTTTTTCTCAAGTTCTCTCACAAACAAATAATTTTATTGTAGCATGAAAATGTGCTTTTCGCTATTTGCTTTATCAGAGATGTATAAAAAAGAAGCAAGGCGTAAAAACTGGAGAAAAAAATCTCTTTACCGAAAAAATAAGTTTTCACTAATATAGCAATTATAAGAAATATCTCTAGAAATCTTCAATCCAAATTTCACAATAAATCAGAATTCAATAATATTTTTAAAAAAAACTTGATACCTTTTCAAAGATTATCAAAAACTGACTGAATAGTTATGCACCCTTGGATTGATCTTGAGTTTTAACGCTCAGAAGAAAAGCCACTAGAATAAAGACTGTGTGGAGGAAAAATTTGTCGCATTTAAAGACACACGAATTATTGTCATGATGTTTGCTTAGTAGCTACATTATTTTTTCTATGCAATTTTTCTCCTTTTTTACTTTTAATACATTTATAGAGTATGCACAGACACTTTACAAATAAAATGTATGAAAGAATAAATAAATTTAAGAAAAAATATTTTTAAAACAAAAAACAACAAAATTTTCTTCAAAGACGAATAAAAAATTCCATTCATGTGCTGAATACATACATGACAGGGATGAAAGACGAAGAAAAATAAGAGAGTTTATGTACATCTATAATTGCTTTTTGAAGAATAGAAGCGAAAAAAACTGTCACGTTCTCATAATAAGAATGTTTGTCTCTTTAAACATCAGCTGCAATAACAGCGGTAGTAACAGAAAAATGAAAACATTGTATACAAATATTCCAGAAGAATTAATTTAAAATAGCATGTTTTATAGCGCATTTCTATTAGATCAATTGAAATGTTTTTTTGTAAAAATTAATTCTGTACATTAAAGCATGATTTCAGAAAAAAAACATTGGTTGACATTACTACGCAAGAGATCGTTGAAAAAAAAAAGATAGCTAGTTTCAACACACATTTAAAATTCTTAACTTTATCGTCACATTACGCTCCATTTTGCTGATGTGTATAATGCACATTTCAAATTTTTGTATCGTGTCGTGCAGTGTCATCTTTTTCATGAACTCTTTCTACTTTGTGTTTAAAATTTCAAACCTTGTTTTAAAATCTATTTTAAGCAAGACATCATCACAACTTTTTTGTGTATCAAATTACAATTTTTTCATTGACATAGCTAAAGATAAAGATTAATATATTTCAAAAACTTTTGTGAACGAAAATTAAATAATTAAATTGGACAAAATAGAATTGTGCAAATTTTAATATCCAAAAATGTAGAACTTGATTTGGAAACCATAATTTTTAAAGTATTTTTTTACAATTTGTTCCCTCTTAGCGTTTATGAATGTCATTAAAATCTCATTCAAGTCCAAGCATGTTTCAAGTTTTATTATTCTAATTAAGATAGGATTACCTTATTTATTTTCAAATCATCCATAATTTCACCATAAAAACCAATTAAGTTTTATTTAAATTATTTTTAATGCTAATACCACAGAAAAACAATTTTTTGTGAACAAAAGCAAAAGAAAAGAGAAAAATGATAAACAGAGATTTTTACTTACTTGAACAATGTCTTCATAAAAGCTAAATACATAGACTTCATTGTTATCCAATCTTGTAGGTGGGCACGGTAAACATGTCTCTGACATCCATCGCTTAAAACATTTCAACCTTGATGTGTGAGTGTTAAATAAAGAAAGAAAAGACAATTTTTATTGTAATGTCCAAACAATACTGGTGAAATGAAGGAAGTGGAGGAAAAGCAATGTAAGGCGAATTTTACACAAAAGGTTTAATGTAAATAAACGAAATCAAGATAACAATGAGAAAATCAAGTAATTGTAACAATAAAACAAGAAATTCCGCAGACGCTTTTCGTTAAAAAAGTGATCATACGATTATCAAATTTATCACAGTACCTTTCGAGAAAATCCTTTACCGAATGAACCATAATGTTATAAATTTCATTTGCTGATGGCTTCATGGTGATTTCTGGCGCAGCTAAAATTGCATCAACTTCAAACATAACATTGTCTTGCATGAGAGTATCCGAGAAATTTTGTAAATTTTTAGTAGTAAAACGAACAAGAGTTGAAAACATTTCCTTTTCCCAATATGTGTAATAGTAATTCATTTTATCAGATTCTCCAGTAAATGAGTTTAAAATTAGACTTTCCAATTTTATCATTGTTGGTCCAATTGAGTCATAAAGTTTCTGTAAGCGGTTCATCTTTTCGTTTCTTTCAAATTCCAAATTTCGGAAATATTCTAAACAAGGTCTAATCATCACATCACGTTCTGATATGCGCACACTTTTCTTTCGTCCAATAATCGCTTGATTGGTATCTAAATTATCAGGCGTTTCACCATATTTTTCATCAAATTTGGAACTTTTCAAAATTATTGGATTTTTTGAGCAATCCAAAAATTTTCTTTTCTCATTTACATCACTCTTGAATAACCAAAACGTTTCCAATTGAGAAACCTTTGCATGAATATCTCTTGCCATCATGCCAATTTGCATTACAATTGCTGATAAATTTTTCAATAAACACTGACACGTTTTACAAAATGTTTTAATGTTTAATGTTTGCCATGTGTAGCGACCAAGACCAGCCTGAATTGTTGATTCAACTTCATATAGTTTGTCACGTAGAAAATGAATCTGTTGATTTGAATTGAAAAAAATGTCAAAAAGGAAGTATTTAAAAGAATATTAAAATTATGAATTTATCATATAAAATAAAAATTTTTGCTATGTAGACTTCTTTGCTAGATACTTTTGCAAAAATTTGTTTTTTTTGAAGCGAAATTGTGATAAAAAATGATACAAACCTCTGATGATGACAATTTCTCTATAATATCATTATATTCATTCACAATTCTAGTGACATGTTCCACGTCTGAAGATAATTGCTCCTTAAATCAAAGACAAACATACACATAGTCATCGTTATGTAGTTTCTTATACGTTCTTACGTACGTAAGCACATAAATATGTTAGAGATAAAGTAAAATACAATAAAAAGAAATATCTTCCAAAGTGAATTGTAGTGAGGACATGAGAATGAAATGAGATAATAAAAATATATAAAAAACGATAAGAATGATGTGTGTCCTCAAGACATTGAATACTTTTGCAAAAAAAAGTAGAAAAAATCTAGTGCTGCCATAGCCTGTCTTTTGTGTACTTTTTCTATATAGCACACATCTTACTATTCTCTAATACAAAACAATAAAAATGGAGAATTTGTGAATGCTGCCTCCAAGCTCTATTTTTTGCTGAATCGAGACATTTCTATTCGACACCATCAACACCATACGTATGATATAAAAGAAGAGAAAAAAATATTATTTCATAAGGCATATTTCAACATACTTTTCTCATTATAGCCATCCGTATCACTGGATTTAATGTGAAGCCCAAGAACTCAAACTGTTGACCTTCGATCATGACATCAAATATTTCTGAAAAAAAATGTTTATTAAAATTTTTATTGTTATTTTATTTCATTCACATAAGTTATTAAAGTGGCTGACTGTATTTGAATAACATTTTAAATGGTGCATTTTTTTAAAATTAAAACAATCAAAATATTCATCAATAACCCAGATTAACATTTTATAATACTGAAAGTCACCTCTTTAATTTTTTTAAAAGCTAATATTTTTTTCACATCAAAAACAAAAAAGTTATTTTTTGTAACATCACCATCATAAGTAACTTTCTATTTGAGGATATACATGAAAAATAACCGAACCAGAATAGTAGAAAAAGAAGAAAAAAATAAATATAATTCTGAGGGTTTTCGCGATACGCAAAAGGAAATATGAATGATTGTTTTAAGACATTATTTTTCAAATTCATTTCGTTTCTACAAAAGCAAAAGAGAAAATTCTCGTGTGATGATCGTAAAAAATTGCCAACTTTATATATTTTGTAGTAAGGATAAAGAAAAAAATTTGGGGTCAAAGAAGCATATGAAAATATGGTTTTTCATAACACGCAGTCATAATAATATTATACGTATGTACTAGATTATTCGCTTCTCTTGCATTCATTCTGTGACGGTAATAAAATGAAAATATGCTTACGTTGTGAAAAATTTACATCAAATTTTAACTCATACTCGACGAGTAAGGAACTGCCAACGATTTCCCTCCATGTTGGTACTTTTTGCTGTTGCGATGCTGTAGTCATCACTATTTTTACCATATGTGTACATATATACAAAATATAAAAAAAAGAAAATTTAATAAATAATGCTAAAGTTATAAAAAACATATTTTTATCATTCTGTAAGAGAACAAATAAAAATAAAAATATGATTAAAATTAAAACTGTTCAGTAGTTTTGGTTTGATTTCGGGATACAAAAAATTATGCCCAATTTCTCACAATTGTCATCATTTTTAAAATATTGAATCGTAGAGCATAAATTGAAAATCAATGAAAAAATTTCTATTGAGGGATGTAAAAAATAAAATAAGTTTATAAGATAAAAAGAGAATGGTAATATTATATGAATATCAATAAAAATAAGAAGGTGCCTTTATCAAATTTGATATCTTTAACAATAAGGATGGGCTTTTTATGAATTTATAAAGGAAACTCAAAGAATAATGATTAAATCAAATCTTCCTGTTTTTAAATTTCCGTATATTAGTCAATGTGCCCTTATCTCACTTACACTTTGCCTGTGATATTTTAAAATCATTGCGTGTTGTTCGTGAACTTTTTGTCATAGATTCAGATGCCTTCATCAATTTTTCAGCTAATGCTAAGTCAGGATTATCGGATATAGGTCGGTTTGCCATCCATTGGATTGCCGTCGAAAAAATATTAAATTTTGATTTCGTTGATAGCGATTTACGTGGAACGAGAACATTGAGGATTCCCATTGATGGAGTTTTTGCTTTTTGTTGTTGTCTCACTCTAGAAGCTTTTTGTGAAGTCTTTGCTACTGACATTGATTGTGGCATTGCTTCCTTTCTCACAATTTCATCTTTAAGTTCCTCCGGCAATGTCATAAATTTCAACTTTAATATGTTACGTTTCAGCACATTGTTTACAACAAAGGTGCCTTCATGAAGAAATTTTGCAAACAATTCTTTTTCAAAGGAATTCATTTCTTGCGAAACTGTAAAATATTGATTGAATGCTAAACGTTTCAGATAATCACATTCATCGTTATCGTCAGCATTTTGTTCCATCTTCAAAAGAATAAAATAAGTTAAGATATTGCAATTTATTTAATGAAGTAAAAGTCTCAATTAATTACAATAAGATGCATCGATAGCTTTCATTTCGAACGTAAAGGATAAATGTCTTATTGTAAGCTTCTTAAGAAGTGCAATAATGAAAAAATGAATGAACAAAAAAAAGGAGAGAAAAATAAAGAAGCTTTTTCATTTCCTTCCTTTAGAAATTTCTTTTCCTTTTTTTCATTTTATATATATTTTCCAATCATCTTATTCAGCTACTTACATTGCGAAATGCAATAACAGATTTCTTCAATTTCTCCATCAGTAATCGTTCCCAAAAAACAGCACCGGAATATTTATTTTGACTTCTTTGAAGTGGAGGATGCTTTCTTCGCTTCTGTATTTTTTTTTTGTTTGTGAAATAGAAAATGAAAATAAGGAAAATAAAATAAGAATCGGATAAAGGAGTGAGAAACAGCTGCTAAACAAAGGAAAAGGAGAAGAGGAGATGTGAGTTTTATAACAAAGTAAATCTGCAATCAACATCGAAGAGACATCCAAATATAACACATTTCTATTTCATTTGATTTGCGAGAGTTAAAAATTCTTAAATTTTAAGAAAAAACTGTGCTTGAAATTTGCAGAACAATTATGTGTAGTCATTATTGGTGATTATCTAAAAATCAATGCATGACATTTTTCAATATATAAAGATACACACCAAATATTCAAAAACTTATTGCAGTTTTCAATTTACTTTTGAATATAAAGTCACAAATATGAGATTAAATGGAAAAATCGTTCTCACATAGAAATTATATGTATATCGATAATGTACACTTTCCCTCAAGCTATATAAATGGAAAATAAAGACTTTATCTATACGAACCAGAAATTCATGTTCAACAGTTCCAACTTCGTTTACAAATTTCTTCATTATACTTTCTCGTTTGTTCATTAAATGCTTCAGCAATTTTTCCCTTGTTTCGACTTTGGTCATGTAAGCAATAAGCTCGAGGCCCTGCTCGGCTGATTTTAAGGAGTCGATGCATTGATCTAACACAAGGCATGCTTCGATTTCTACAGTGTCCATATATTTGTAGAAGTAATCAAGAGTAGATTCCCAATTGTCTTTATTATTTGGTTCAAATATATTATAGTCGACACTCAATATGTGGTTCAACAAACGATAAACTTTTTTAATCATTATGTCCACCTCTTCTGGATCAGCAACATTTGAACGAAGTCGATATCCGAACATATTTTCAAATTCATAGAAGGACTATAGTGAAAAGACAAAAAATAATAAATTAATTACCTTCAATCTAATTTTACAATGAGAGAAAATAGATTTTTTATTCACCTTCGCAATGTCTGCAATATCTTGACTTATGCGACTAACGTGATCAACTAATCCAAATAATATCTTCTTATCAAATTCCCATCGTGAGCCGTTTCCTGAATTTTCAATATATGCACGAGTTTCCATATACGATGCCTTCCAGCATTGCAATAAATTGACACACTCATGAGCACGTTTATACGCAGATGTTGCAGTGAGACTATATTGAACAAATGAAATTGAAATTTTTAACAAATTTATTATCATTATTGAAAATAAGATATTATCAAAGGATATTTGATGCAGTGGAACTATTGATACTCTTATTTTGCATATCAGAGTTTCTTAAACTTTTGATGATGATAACACAAAAACATTCGTGATACACTTAAAATCCTACCTTACTAATGTTAAAAAAATTTTGAAAAAAAATATTCTAAATTGCATGCATAACTTTCCGTAAGATGTTTGTGAATCGCAAAACAAAGTTTCAAGACCAAATTTCGAAAATTATTTCGATAAATTGATTGAAACTTTATAGTTTGTTGTTTTTTAATAAAAAACAAAATCAAATTTATTAAACAGATATTTTTTAAAAAGAAATCTAGACTGGTTAAAATTTTGATTGGAAGCGATATATGTACCACAATAAATTAGAATTAAATTGAATTAAATGTTAAAATAGTTAATTCAATAACGAAAATTTCTTTCTATTTTCTCATATCTAATACAATAATAGAACAGAATGCAAATTTGCAGATTCAGCATGCTGTTTCATGAGAAAAATGCACACGTCGAAAATGGTTTAATGAAATGAAACGCCTGGTACTGCATAAAATAGTAATTTCTTATTCTCGCGAAATAATGTTTAAAATAAGAGAAATCTTTCTATATCAAGGATTTATTGCAAACTATTTTCATATCGATGATTAAATATTTTCTCTGTGATAATAGAATTTTTACAATTCGTTTAAAACTTACTACAAGAATTCCTATGTTTTATTAAGGATATTGAAATTCTATCAAAAGACTTAGGATGGGACAGCAGTTAATCGATCCTTGTTCCGTATTCGCTCTTAGCAAACCCTTCATTAAATACTATTCTATAAGCGTATATATTAAGTTCAATATATATATAAACATTAGTCCTCAAAACTGAGATATGATCATAGTTTGGTCGATTCTATTGTGACATAAATAATGGCTTAAGCTTATCAAAAATGTGAAAGTTCTACACTTATAAAAATATAAAATTCCTGATCAATTTTTAAACAATTCGATTATTTAACATTTCTTTCATTATTGAAAAATTTCACTTCTCACTTTTTCACAAAAAGAAATATTAAAAATACATATGCGTGCGAGAGATTAAATTAATACAGTGGAAAATTTTAATCGCAAATATAATCGTTTTTGTTATTATTTTTGTTGTTATTGTCCAGTCATTTCACATATAAAAAAAAAAAACATTTCTTTTTTTTTCACAATATATATATATATACTCATGAAATTGAACGTGCAATAAATAAATTCATTTTGTGAACGTGTTTAATTTAATTTTCATAAACAACTTAATTAAGCATTATCTCGTGTATGAATATGTCTCTGTATATCAGAATACGATTTCCTCTTTTATATTTTATGCCATATGCATTTTATTATTTTTAAATATTTTTTTCAGCAAAAAAAATCTGCAATATTGAAAAAATGACTTGATTATATTTGAAAAATCTGTATTTTCATACTCAATTGTGAAGTTAAAGTTTTTTTTAAAGTTTTAATAAGATTTTTAAGCAAATATAGTAATTTCAGTCAAGTTTCCAAATTTTGCAAACCATCTTAATTAATTCTAAGCTACGCAAATAAGTACTTTATTTTTGAATCCTCCATAATTTATTGAATTTTAGAGCCATAAAACAGATATTTAGCTTCAATAGTTTATTTCTGTGTCTCAGTTGAAGCATTATAAATATTTATATCTTTTTTATAAATGAAAATTTTTATTATTTTATTTCGCCGTAATTTCCTCTTTTGAATTGAATTTCAGAAACGATAAGTAAATATCAATATTAATTTTAAATATTTAATCAATAAATTTCCATTTATAAAACCAAAGAGACGCGAAATCAGGAAAAAAAAGTTAATAAAATGAACGGATAATAAATATCAATCGGTAAGATAGTAAGTGCATAAAAATATTATTAAGTAAAAAAAAGTGATAAATATCAATTACTATCAACAAACGCATAACTCACCTAAATATCTTTTCCAAATCAACGATCTGCATAACTTTCATAGTAAATATATTCGATATCTTTACCAATAAATTCATCATATTTTCATCTTTTGAATAATTATTTGACATCGTCCAAATGTGTCGCAATCCAATCATCATATTTGGTATAATTGAAATTGTAAATGAAAAATTATCTTCGTCTCTGATTTTCTGTAAATATTTAATTTGGAACATAAATTTAACGTAGGTTGTTTAAAATTATACTTTGTATGTTTTTCGTTCATTAAAGTTAAAATCTGACAATAAAAAAACAAAAGTATTTTAAAACTTCAGACACTTTTCATTTGGTCTGTTTTCAGATATCTCTTTTGCAATCGTTCAACTTTACTCTTTATAAAAATTCATAATAGAAGATAAATTATAAAGAACACATGAAATAATAATAATAATATAAAGAAAATGCAAAAAGAAAAAGGGATAAAATCAGTGAAGTAAGAGGAGAAAAAATTTTATGGCTGAATGAATTTTAATATGAAATGCATGAGAGCATTTGAAAGCATATAAGAAAAATTGAGATTTTTACTCATCGTAAAGCACTAGTGTTCCTCGTTCAAATCTTTTATATGCAGGAATAGGGATATTAAAAAATATGAATGTGAATTCACATGATATTAAAAATTCTCCTCCTTTATCTTCAGTTTTTTATGTTAGATATAAAGGCTATGATAGTGCACTCTTTGCCTAAGGATGTAATCCTATTACAATATTTCATGAGAAGAGTCATCACTATTTCACTTTTCTGATACATTCTCGTATATAAAGCTTTTCTTGGTATGCAACAAGGTATAATTCAAAAGTATAAATCCATTAAAACTTTTATTAAGGATTACAAATATGAATTTTAGCTGGTTTTTTTTTTGATTTTTTTAAACGATGCATTTTAACTTGAAAGTATAATCTACACGAGTTATTATGTATCAGTATGTATCAAGCAATAAATAACACTTGATTTTTTTAAAAGTCGATTACTCTATCGAATAAACCTTGGTTATCAATGAAAAAGAAAAAAATAAAAAAAATACAATTTCTATACTCACGATAAAGAACTCTTGAAGTGTTGATAAATATTCAGCATTTTCCTCTGCTAAGTCACGTTCCGATTGAAGCTTTATCATCAATGAGGGCCAATTATCGAGCACTTTGGATTTTGCAGCTTTCAATTTGTCTATGAATAAATAAAATAATAAAATAGAGAATTGGTCAGTGATAATATATTGAGTCTAAAATGCCTTATCATATTTCATGTATTTCTTTATTCTAACATGAATGTTAAAAAAATTCATAACAGAGGGTTTGAAACAAGAATGACGGTAATGAAGCGTTAAATTGATATTTGAAGTTATGATTTTGTACATAATCAATATTCTTAGTTTGGTAAAACATAAAATAAAATAACAAGTTAATAAGTTTTTTTTTATTTTTTAAAGCCTAATATATTTTTTTGATTAGTCAGATTATAAAATTGAAATTGACAAGAGAGAATCAAGAAATTGAAATGGATATGTGTTTATATGATGCTTATTTACATTAACAATGAAATGATAACTTACCAAATATCATGTTTGCAAATCGAGACTTAAGTTGCTCCAACAAATGATTGAATTCCCTCTCACGTTCAAGCCATAACTCATATTCCGCTATTGGTGTTGGATTGCTTGGCTCCTAGACAAATATTTGTCAAAAATATTAAAAGATAGGATAGGGAAGATTTTAACCATTTCCTATTATGCTATGATATGTTTTCGAATCACAACGTGGAATCATTATTGTTTTAATTTACATTAAAGTTTGAGAATTGACCGATTTAATGAAAATCAGTTATTAAATAAATTGTATACAATATAACTTTTTTGATACCTTTAGATTTTAATAATTTCCTATATGTTACCTTTTCACTTGATTCACGAAGTATTTTAGTAATGTACTTCATCCATCCTTCAACAATTTCTTCTAACTGACTTATTTCGATGCCATCCAAACTCATTTTCATCGGATCGACTTTTATTTTCATTTTATCCTCGTCATCTATTATATGTTCCTGGCCTAAAGCATTGTATTCAGTCGGTAAATTGAACGTGCATATAACATGATCTATAGTCCTATAAAAGTAGAGATAAAACAAGATGAAGGTACATATATATTGAGTAAAGAAAAGAATAAGAGTAAAAAAATTGTAAATTGCTTTTTACTCTTTCCTTATGGTTTTTATACTTTTTATGTGTAAACGGAATGAATTAAAATTGCTTCAAGGAATTTATGAAAAAAAAACCCAGAATGGAACTCTATTTTTTTATATTTCTTTGTCGAGTTTCGAGGTCCTATTTATTTTTTTTTACTTCAAGTTTTTAGGGGTACAAACAAGGGAAAGGGTATCAAGAAGGATTGAAAGTAAAAAATAATATAATTTCCGTTTAAACTGGTTCAAACTACATAACTTCACAAAATTGAATGGCGAATAATGAAATAAATTAGGGATTAGAAATGTATTGAAAAAAGATAATAACGAGACAAAAAAATCTGATGTAATTTAATTTTTTTTTGTCAAGCTCAATGATTTCAAATGCCTTTTTTTAATGATTTGAAATCAAGCACTGCAAAAACACTTTTTATATTTAAAAACTAGCTAAATAAATAGCTCTCCCTTACTAGTTCAGATGTATATATGCGATTTAAGTGGCAAATTATTTTAAAATTAATAATTCTTAATTTTCAATCAATCTATATATGCCTTTGAATTTAATGATTCAAGTGTTCCAAGTTATGACAGAAATTTTAAAATTTTTTTTTAAATAAAACTTCAAATTATTTACAAGTAAAGATGAAAAATTAGCAATAAAATATTGATAACAGTTGATTTCATCATAAAATAAATCGAAATAAAATAAATGATTTCGTAAACTTTTTTTTATCCTTACCATTCGATTGCATGATGAAATTTATCAAGATTATTCTGTAATATTTCTATTGTCGAAGGCTTCTTTATTGGCACATTTTGACTATGTGTTCGTTCCTTTTGTGCTTCTTGTTCGGCTTTAGCATATAATTGATTCCATTTATCATCATGACTTGGAGGTGTTGGTTCTATTAGAAAAGCATTAAAAAAGTTAGAAGGAAAAGATATAGATAGAAAAGAAAATTAACCAATTAATTTCACCTCAAGCTCATCTACTACATACATTTATATGATCTTTTTCTCTTTCTTTCAATTTAGCTTCACCCAATGGGAGGTAATTTTTTTACTGTTCATTGAGCACATCATGAAAAGAGGAAAGTATATTCGTATACACTTTTCAGCAAAAATTAATTGAGAAAGTCGAGTGAATGTATGTGTGCTCTTATAAATTGAATGGAAAATGAGATGAAAGAAGAGAAAGCAAAAAAGGATTACCAATTTAATTGGCATTTTACCTTCATAAGGCGTATTTCCTGTTTTAAGTGATTCAATTGATGTTGCAACAGTTGATAGCCGACTCGTGCCTGACAAATGTGATGTATCATCGCCAATATTAATTCCTGAATTTTTTGCCTCAATTGCTTTCATACGATAATCAGAAGGACGAGAGAAGTCAATTAGGCCGATTTTCTGTTCACCTTCACCTGTCGTTTCCATTGCATCATTCTTCTCATTAATTGAAGGTACTCGCATTTGAAGAGTAAATAAATTACGCAGAATATTCTTTGACAAATACAACAATCTGTGCAAGAATGAACCACGGAATGTTCCCATAATAAAGTGATCTGGCATATCGGACATAGCATCATCTAAACTTTCTATTATTGAAATTGGAAGTAGAGATTTCCTGATGAAATATACAAAGTAGCTCTTATGTTCTACTTCTTCGAGTTCTTTCATGCTAAATACGGCATGCAAAATCGGCGTCTTTTCATGTGATTGCTCAATTTTCTGGAAAAATAAAATAAGAATGAAAGTAGAAAAGAAAAGAAAAACGTAAAAAAGTTCATAAAAAGGAAAAAATTCCAGAGGAAACGAGATCCACTTACCCGAACTTCAATAAAGCTATACTCTTGTTCTTTAGGTGGCTCCGGGGTCTCGCCTTCTTGTTCATCCTCTTTATAAATTTTTATGAACCGAAGAAGAGGATAAACGAGAAAAAAATCACATTGTTAAAGACGTTGAAAGAGAGATAGAGAGTAGAGAAATGATAATGAAAATTAGCTAATGATTATAAAAACTAATTAAATTATTTTTCATTTTTATTTTTTTCCACTTTACCAACCTTCAACAGCCGTTCTTCTCTTCCGTGACTTTCCACCTCTTTTCTTTTCTGGTGCTGTCGAAAAAATTAAAACAAGTAGAAAAAGAAGAAAAAAAAATTAGAAAGGTAAAAACTTTTACGTCATTTTGTGTTTTGAAAGTAGAAAAGAAGAAAATATTAAGAGAGATAAAATGATTATGATGAGTAACATAAAAATTGTTTATTGGCATATTTTCCATTTTATGAAGTTTTCACCATGACAAGTAAGCCCAAAGCAGTCGAAACGTTAAATTGAAAGGAAATTGTTCAACCACAAATAAATATTATTTTTAAAAAATCAAGATTAATAACTATAGTTATGTATGCACTAATAGCTGGATGGCAAACTTTTTGGATGAAATAATGAGAATCTACATGGCTATCGAGTAAAATTTTTCAATGAACAAATCAGATGAATTTAAGATTTAAGAAAGCTTTTTAAGCTCAATTATGGATTTAAGTAAAGTACCAAAATATCCAAATAATCATTGTAACATAAACTCTCATTCCACTTAATTTAGAAAAAACTTTCCATTTACTTTTGCAAAAATAAAAAATAAAAAGAATCAAATTAAATATAGCGCAAAAGAAAAATACGAAAAGAAAAATCCCCTCGGAGCAATATAGATTAAATTTTATCATTATAATAAACAGTAAATCCATCCGACATTACCACGTGCGGTGGCGTATTTTCATTTCAATTTCTCTTTGCGTAACCAAAAAAGTGCCATTGAGATTAATTTTTTTTACAAAAAATCTTGCATTGAAATTAAAGAAAAATAATAATTGATCCTGTTAATTTTTATGTAACAATTAAAATAAATACAATTCATTGATACTTCTTGTTTGTGTTTAGGTTTTCTTTAAGTTTTAAAAATCGCAGAAAAGGGAAATTTTTGAATGATAGTGACTCATGAAAATACATAAGTAGATGGATTCGGAATCATTTAAACATAATTTCAAGATAAAACTTAGAGGCAACCGAAATTCCTTTAATATAGTAACAAGCAAAGAACATATCAGAAAAATCTGGCTATTTTGACATAAAAGACGACTTAAGGATATAAAACTGAGGGGTTGATGTTGCTGTTCCCTTAAATAAAATTGAAAGCGACCTAAACTTAAATTTAAATCATGTATTATTTATAAATAAATTTCAATCAGCAAAGAAACGTGTCAAAATATATACACGAATTAAGCACTGAACATCCACACATTGTTTATACATTATGGTTGCTCAGTCAACATTAAAAGACAAAACAAAAAAAAAAATGTTTTGTAAGAATTTCATATAGAATAATAGGAAATAAGGAAGGAAATTCAAAATAAAAGTAACTTTTGTGTTTTACGCACAATAGTCATGAAAACATCTTTGTGAAATAAATTCAAACTAAGATAAAATAATATGAGCAAATAAAAACATAATGAGCAGAAAACAATTAACTTACCAGAGCGTGCCATCTCCTGAATTTCTTCATCGCCAATATCTCGATCTGGTCGAACTTCACCTCCTTCTTCTCGACTATCTTTTGCTCGTTTCGCTTAAAGAAAGTGTAAAAAGGTAAATTTGAGAGAAAAGGTTTTTTAAAAAGTAAAATATAAGAAGCGCTTGTTGCCGGCATTTTATGCTCAAAATAATAAATTTAAGAATTACATAACTTTACAATTGTTTTTATCCCAATTTTCTTCGTATATTTCAAGAGAGTAAAATATAGAATTTCCTGTGCCAATTTTACCTTAAGGTAATTGAAATATATAAAAGCAAAATAGAATATGAAAATTGTGAAAATATCGAATTACCGCGTAGCAAAAATAAATAACGTTTACTGTAAAAAGATCCTAAAGACAAAACTGAATAACTAAAGGAACTTTAATAAGAGAGATTTAGAAAGTTGTATAAGGGAATTCGGACAAGTTTTGTTATTCTACAGGTATTGAATCATTAGTTTCTTGACTTTAAAAATATCCTTTTTGTATCTTATAAATCTAATCTTTTCTAAAAAAAATATTGCTAAAGGTATAAAGAGAAGATACATATCTTCTTTGACTTTAGTCCATATATCTTTGCATTTTCTTAAAAACTTTTTCACACACCAACTGTGACCCAATCAATTTATCTTCTTTCTTACCTTTTCCCTTTTTTCCTTTTTTCTCCTTTGAAATGTCAATTGTTACTTGTTGTGGTGGTGTCATAATTCTTGGTACTAAAAATAAAGGTACAAAATTTATATTTTTCACATGGTCCAACATTGACAATTTATAAATTTTACCTTTTTCAATTGTGAGAACTTCTCGTTCCACAAGTTTGTCGTAGAAAGTACGATAAATATAAAGGATGCATTTCTCCATTTCATCGATATTGTTGATTTCATCTTCAAGAAAGTTGTAGAATTTGTCATAGTGCTCTCTGAAAAGTTCTTCAACTGTTTCTGGATGTTCTTCAACTCCCAGTAATTTCGAAATGCGATCCCGTAGCCAAACTACACGATAATCAGTCATTGTTTCTTCGTTGAAACTGTTGGATATATTTTTTTACCGGTTTATTTCACAAACTTGAAAAATTGAATTATTCGGTGAAATTCAAATTAATATTTTTATCATTAAATAAATATGTCAATTAAATCAGTTGATAGAAAATAAATTATTTGCAGTATTTTGTTTAAAGCACGGAAACACGAAAAATAAATGTTTTAATTGAATAATTGAAAATAAATTCAACAAAACTGAAAACTAAAATTGATTTTTTCCACACTGTTACTATGATTAAAAATAAACATTCAGTTAAAAAAATATTTGTCGTCATTGTTTTGCTTGTACGTTTAATATTCCGAGAGTTTTTCTTCATTTCCATAGTGATATTTGTTATTTTAGAAAATACTCGCTTATGAATTTGTACAATATTCAAAAGGGGTCGTTAACAAATAACCAGGGCCACTTTGGGGAAAAATTGAAAAAAAGATGGATTTTATAAATAGACTTCTATTCCAAATTTCAACTCATTTGGTGCTGTTTCTGCTATTCTATGGCTGTATGACGTTGAAAATGAACGAAAATTCTCATTTTTTTCATGTCCTCTTTAAACCCAAAGTACTTTATGATTGTTCTATATATTATGCAGTTAAGTGCCTTGCTGGTCGAATAGGTAAGGCGCTTGGCTCAAATTTGGTGTGGTAACTCGAAGGTCGCCGGTTCGAATCCAGCCATTTCCAAATTTGTTCTTTTTCAGAAGTTTAGATACTTCGACTGCTTACTGTACGAGATCAAGCCATAATTGGGCATTTTGGGCAACGTTGGATTAAGGAACGGATCAAGAACTTGAAGTGTAGCAGGAGAAATAGGAACGAGAGCTACAAGATTAACTTATAATGGAATATTGTCAGAACGGACCTGAAATGTATTACGTCACGCCCACAGAAGATTGAAACGAGAGCCTTCTTCAGGACGGTAACGTCGACAAATAAATAATAAGATTGCAAAATGGTTTTCAGTTCCTAATAGTGATAAATAAGAGCTTCATTTTGATATGTCACAAAGATTTTAACTTTGTAGTTTTTGTGCCGCTTTGGTAAGATTTGTAAGAAAAACATGGAAAAATATCTTCAAACGTGCCCAAGTGTCGTAGATCGCCGAGTAGTAAGAATAGAATCACAGCATGTAGCCCTTGATTTGTGAACAAAAGCTGTGGTAGTTTGAGTGATGAGAAAAGCATACAAGTCGTCAGATATCAAATGTACTCAATATCTCATCGTTTTCTGTTTGGCTTGTCTTAAGCACTTGACGAGAGATAACTCAAAACAAAATAAACCGTTAAATGGTATTTGGATCAGAAAGCCAGTCTAAATTCGTGTAAAGGTTAAAAATACTTTATAAAAAATTTTTTTTTTTAAAAACCACGTTTTTGCCCGTGGACTGAAAATAACTTTTTTGTTGGGTTTATTGGGTTTTTATTGAATTGCAAATTTGTTCACTTCGACCATATCGTGTAGTTCTACATCTTAAAACGTGGAAAAAATGTAAGCTCTCCAAATATACAATATTAATGAAGACTTTCCATGAAGACTTTCCATGAAGACTTTCATCGATCAGCTGTGCTTCGCACAGCATACGTTTGTAAACTAGAATCAAACCATTGAAAGTCTTCATCGATCAGCTGTGCTTTCGCACAGCATAAGTTTGTAAACTAGAATTTAACCATTGAAACTACTGGAAAAGTTAAGTGAATAAAATCGACACAAATAGCCAAGAACAAATAAATTAAATCAAAGATACATAACAGAGATCAAGAAATTTTGTGAAAAGGAAATTTTTTTAAAATATAAATAACTCCCGCGTGTAAAACGATTTTCTTTTAATTTATAAATTTAATTTAAAATTTTAGAAACCCAATAAAACCTCACCTTAAATTAAATAAATCAATTGCTCGTTAATGTATGGCTGTTGTTCATATTATCTTTGTAGTTCACTGGTACTGGGTTGTGTTTTAATTATTTACGTGTCACGTAAATTTTATTGGAAATTTCAATTGGCAGACCAATGTCTACAATGAGTGATAGAATGGCTAAGACAAGCCCTTTTGTAACTAGAAAACAAAACAAACTTTTTAAACCTCGTCTCTTGATAAAAGAATCAAAATATTTGGTTGTTGGAAATTCTAGTGAACGTTCAAAAGCGACAATTGAGCTCGCTAATAGTTTGATGAAAAACATTAACATCATTCGTGAAATGATTGTTAATAGAAATGATCCATACGAAATACTTGAGAAAATTGTAAATGAATTATTAGGAAATTACACGAAATGTTGCGAAATTATTAAAAAAAGTGAAGAGGATAGTTTGACTCATTGCAAAGGTTTGAATGATCAAGTGATATTATTAGAAAATGATTTGATTAGTAAAATCAATGATGTTCAAGGGAAAGCAGAAAATGATATCAATTCTATTGACTTGACACAGAAATTTAAGGACGAAGTCAATTTTCTTTGGATTACTTTTACAGATCCTGCTGAGATTAATGACCTGCAAATGAAAAATAAGTCTGAACTTATTCATGAGACTAAAAAAATATTCACTCGAATGAATATTAAGCTTGACAAACCCCACAAAACAAAAATCGATGTAATAATTTAAAAAGTATCAGTCAAGACTGATAACTCTTATGGAAATGAGCTGATATTGAGAATCAAATTCACAAATTCGAATGTTGTAAATTATATGAAGCGCCAAATCATGGATTATGGTAAAAAAAAAAGTTCATTAATGAAAATTTTGATCTGATTCGTTACATTATAAATGATAAAGAATGCTAATAAAGATATAAAATCGATATTTTTTTGAAAATAGCCTACTATGATCAGAAACCAAAAATGCTTTAAATTGCATTTTAAAACATATCTAGGTATTATAAATGATAAAGAATGCTAATAAAGATATAAAATCGATATTTTTTTGAAAATAGCCTCCTATGATCAAAACCAAAAATGCTTTAAATTGCATTTTAAACATATCTAGGTATTATAAATGATAACAAATGCTAATATAGATATAAAATCGATATTTTTTTGAAAATAGCCTACTTTGATCAAAACCAAAAATGCTTTAAATTGCATTTTGAAACATATCTAGGTATTATATTGAAAATAGCCTACTATGATAAAAAACCAAAAATGTTTTAAATTGCATTTTAAACATATCTAGGTATTATAAATGATAACAAATGCTAATATAGATATAAAATCGATATTTTTTTGAAAATAGCCTTCTTTGATCAAAACCAAAACTGCTTTAAATTTCATTTTAAAACATATCTAGGTATTATAAATGATAACAAATGCTAAATTAGATATGAAATCGATATTTTTTTTTAAATAGCCTTCTTTGATCAAAACCAAAAATGATTTAAATTTCATTTTAAAACAAATCTAGGTATTATAAATGATAACAAATGCTAATTTAGATATGAAATCGATATTTTTTTGAAAATAGCCTACTATGATCAAAACCAAAAATGCTTTAAATTTCATTTTAAAACAAATCTAGGTATTATAAATGATAACAAATGCTAATTTAGATATGAAAGCGATATTTTTTTGAAAATAGCCTACTATGATCAAAACCAAAAATGCTTCAAATTGCATTTTAAAACATATCTATGTATTATAAATGATAAAGAATGCTAATATAGATATAAAATCGATATTTTTTTGAAAATAGCCTACTATGATCAGAAACCAAAAATGCTTTAAATTGCATTTTAAAACATATGTAGGTTTTATAAATGATAACAAATGCTAATATGGATATAAAATCGATATTTTTTTGAAAATAGCCTACTATGATCAAAACCAAAAATGATTTAAATTGCATTTTAAAACAGATCAAGGTATTTTCAATGATAACAAATGCTAATTTAGATATAAAATCCATATTTTTTTGAAAATAGCCTACTATGATCAAAACCAAAAATGCTTTAAATTTCATTTTTAAACATATCTAGGTTTTATAAATGATAACAAATGCTAATATGGATATAAAATCGATATTTTATTTTGAAAATAGCCTACTATGATCAGAAACCAAAAATGCTTTAAATTGCATTTTAAAACATATCTAGGTATTATAAATGATAAAGAATGCTAATAAAGATGTAAAATCGATATTTTTTTGAAAAAAGCCTCATATGATCAAAACCAAAAATGCTTTAAATTGCATTTTAAAACATATCTAGGTATTATAAATGATAACAAATAGTAATATAGATATGAAATCGATATGTTTTTTGAAAGTAGCCTTCTATGATCAAAACCAAAAATGCTTTAAATTGCAATTTAAAACATATCTAGGTTTTATAAATGATAAAGAATGCTAATATAGATATAAAATCGATAATTTTTTAAAAAAAACCTACTATGATCGAAATCAAAAATGCTTTAAATTTCATTTTTAAACATATCTAGGTATTATAAATGATAAAGAATGCTAATATAGATATAATATCGATATTTTTTTGAAAATAGCCTACTATGATCAGAAACCAAAAATGCTTTAAATTGCATTTTAAAACATATCTAGGTATTAAATTGAAAATAGCCTACTATGATAATAAACCAAAAATGTTTTAAATTGCATTTTAAAACATATCTAGGGATTGTAAATGATAAAGAATGCTAATATAGATATAATATCGATATTTTTTTGAAAATAGCCTACTATGATCAGAACCAAAAATGCTTTAAATTGCATTTTAAAACATATCTAGGTATTATAAATGATAACAAATAGTAATAAAGATATGAAATCGATATGTTTTTTGAAAGTAGCCTTCTATGATCAAAACCAAAAATGCTTTAAATTGCAATTTAAAACATATCTAGGTTTTATAAATGATAACAAATGCTAATATAGATATAAAATCGATAATTTTTTAAAAAAAACCTACTATGATCGAAATCAAAAATGCTTTAAATTTCATTTTTAAACATATCTAGGTATTATAAATGATAACAAATGCTAATATAGATATAATATCGATATTTTTTTGAAAATAGCCTACTATGATCAAAACCAAAAATGCTTTAAATTTCATTTCAAAACATATCTCGGTGTTATAAATGATAAAGAATGCTAATTTTGATATAAAATCGATATTTTTTTGAAAATAGCCTACTATGATCAAAACCAAAAATGCTTTAAATTTCATTTTTAAACATATCTAGGTATTATAAATGATAACAAATGCTAAATTAGATATGAAATCGATATTTTTTTGAAAATAGCCTACTTTGATCAAAACCAAAAATGCTTTAAATTTCATTTTTAAACCAGTTGCAAACTAGATCTCAACGTGAACAGACGTGTTTACAAATCGCTCCGCAAATTATTCAAAAATCTCAAAAGAAACAAAACAGAGACTACCTGAGAAGCTTTTTGTTTGCAAAAAGTTTCAAAATCTCAGTTTGATTCTCAAAACATCAAAATGGTAGCATCACCAAAAACTACCAACAACGAAGAAAATTTTTCTCAAAATCAGCATGGACTTAATAGTTCTCAACAACAACATTCATCTTCAGTGACAATTCTCAATATTGAGGAAATTTTCAGTGAAGATGTTTCACAAGCAGCCGACATTGAGATGACAAATCTCAAACCAAAAAAACAAATATCAATAAAGAAGTTTCTCAATGAAGCAAGTAAAGCAGAAAAACGCCCTCGAGAAGTGATAGTTCCCAACGCTCTTTTAAAAAGAGTAGCAAACGAAAGCAAACCAAAAGATGGGAACAAACCACTGTTCGTACTCCCACCAGTGAAGAAAGCTTCGTCTTCTGGAGTACCGTATCTATTTGGTTCACCAGAACAGGAGAAAAAAAGATCGACAACTTCTTCGTACTGGGGAGAAAACAGCAAAACATCAGAGCAACAAAAGACAATTTCCGTAAACACGGAAAGCAACAACAACAAATCTCAACAAAAATCAAAACCACCTCCAATTGTCATCAGCACAGGAGGAGCTGGTGAAATCAAGAGATTGACGAATGAAATAAACAATCAACCTGGAAGTTTCTTAATTGAGACCAAAAAGGGCAAACAAGGAACAAAAACGGTAACAACGGAGAGTTGGGATTACTACGAGAAATTCATCCAACTACTCAAAGACAAAAAGCATCACTTCCACACATACTCCAGCCAAGAACCACTGAAGAAGTACGTACTCTATGGACTCCCAGATATGGAAATCAGTGAGTTGGAGAAGGAACTTCAAACCGTAAAAATCACACCAGTAAAAATTGTCAAAATGACAATGAAACACAAAAGACACGAACAAGACGACGACCAGAACTACCTCGTGTACTTCAAAAAAGATGTAGAACAAGGTGGAAATTTCCTGGAATTCCTCAGAAAAATCAAAATTGTCAGCAGTTTCAAAATTAAATGGGCTGACTACAAAAATAGACAAGCTGGACCATCTCAATGTTCGAAATGTCTGCAGTTTGGTCATGGACAAAACGGTTGTAACAAACCGTCCGTTTGCTTCAGATGCTCTGAGCAACATGACTCGAAAACGTGCCAGTACATATCGAAAGAGACCAACAAGGTTCCACTCGGAAAACTCAAATGTTTCTTCTGCGGTGAAAAACATACAGCAATTTTCACAGGTTGTAAAACCAGACAAGAAATAATTGAAAAATGGAAATCAAAATCACAGAATGGAAACAACCAAAATCAAAACAAAACAGCAGGCCATTATTCATATGGACAACGGAGAAACAATCCTCCAACACCGCATCGTCCTGAGAGATCAACCAGAAACGTCCAACATGCACCAAAACCTCAATGGAGAAAGGAGTATATGGAACCATCAACATCTGGTACACAAAAGCCTGTTCATCAAAAACAAGTTCCAGTCAACCACAAACCAAGGAACACAATTCCTCCTCCAAATCACAAACCCTCAAATCAGGGAAATAAAAATAACTTGAACAACCAACAAAACAATAAAGAAAGAGGAAAACATTGGAAAAAGAATCAAAGAAAAAAGCAAAACGAGCGCATTAATAACAATCAACATCAAAAACCAAAGCAAGTTGTTGAGCTTATGGACTCAGAAGACATCAGTGCAACAAGTCAGACCTCGAATGAAGTCTTCCCAGAACCTTCATTCAGTGTTGAGGTAGTGAATCGAAACATAACAACTAATCAACAAGCTCAAAGCACCAGCACAAGAGATAAAAACATCTCAGAAATAGAGGAATCAAAGTGCAAGTACCTTATCAGCGAGCTTCTCAAATTAATCGCCAAAAATCCAGAGTTCATCGACGAAATACTCCAAGCAATCGGCTCAAGTGCCAAAAACACCGCATACAATAATGGATTGTAGACAACAAAGTATCAACGTCCTCTACTGGAATGCTAACGGCCTCACTGACAAAATGTTAGCATTTCTCGACTACCTAAGCAAGCAAAACGTCGATGTTGCTTGCATCTCAGAAACATTCCTAAAACCAAACTCAAAAATTGACTCGCATCCAGACTACGTAATTCATCGATTGGATCGCGTGGATAGACCAAAGGGTGGTGTTGCAATCATCGTCAAAAGAAATCTAAAACATCAGCTTCAACCAAGCTACAACACA